CTGGGTGACTCCTTCGAAGTTGTCAGTGACTTGATTATGATTTCATAAAGCATGATTCCATATTTGATGTTTATAGATTGTGATCAATGACACTAATTTCACATGCGAGAAACCGATTGATAGTTTTGGATTCTGTTGAGTGGTCCGGAATCCCTACTTTTGCTCATTTCCATAAGTTAGACTTGTACCCTAGATTCGAGTGAATGAGAATTACCCACAATAAATCTTGTGAATATAAATTAGAATAATCAAGTTATTACTTGAAATCTAGGCAAAGAATTATATAGAAGTCCTTTATTAATTTTGAGCATTGAGATGTGATCTAATTGACTGATTTACATAATTAAATGTTAATATCGTGCCTCTTTGATATCATGGAACGAGTTACTTGAGATGATTGTGGAAGGATGCTGAATATGATTGTTCTTAAAATGATTAGATCAATGATCAATGCGACTAAAGGATACAATTGTGCTTTATTGATTCTTTGATATATTACATGATATGAATATCGATTTTATGTTGAAACATAATGATTTATATGATGGATGAAATAGAAACCTTGACTGTCATGCGGGTTGTTATGTAGTTTGAATCGAATAATTCATGCTTGTCAAGCCCAAATGTTTGATTGAGGAATGTTATGCATTTTGGCTTGAACAGACTGTGTTATGTGTCGAGTTATAGCAAAGGTGAACTACGAATGGCTTGATCCCTAATGAGGGTACGTAGGTAGTCTAACGAGGAGGTTAGATGCAGCCATAAAGTATACGAAAAAAATTACTATGAGATTTGATTCTCAAGTTGTGATTTGCCATATCCCAGAGATAGGTATGTTAGATATATGAGTATTGGTGACGTCGCGTGTCGATCCGGGACGTATGTCCGGATCGGAGCATGACACCGTTTCTTGGTGAAGATTTAGAGTACATGCGAAAGTTTCACAAGAAGCATTCGGCTAATGACTTGTATTGCCTGCCAAAAGTATGTCAAAAAGCTCTTGATCTGGCATAAACCTGCCCTGATGCAGAGTAGATCATCCAAAAAATCACGGATCCAAGAATGAAGGCTAAGTTCTAACATATACACAAGGCTCGAGTTTTCGGTTTTGAGGTAAACCCATATACTGATTTTTTCTCGGCCATTTCCCTTTTTGGCCTTACAGCCGATAAAATAAAACATGTGGCTTGTTTAGATGATTATCTGGACATAAGAGACGTCCGCATCGTATACTAGGAACAGTCTTGCAAGGCTTTACAAGAGCAAGACCAAGTTCTAACACCAGCGAGCCAAAGGTCGAAACTCAACATGAAACTGCTCCGATAGCCATACCGCATAAGCATGTTGTCACTGCAGCCGAAGATGACCGAGCGAGTGATGCCTATGAGCAAGATATTTCGCACGAAAATCCAGAGGATGAAGATCATGACCTGATGGGCCCTTCAGTCCTTGACAACATAGAAATCAACATGGTCCACATTTTACTTGTAGAGTTCCAACCAACCACATCTCAACCAAATTTCCTAGATGATGATGTGGTTGCCGAGGAGGCTACACAAGTCGATTTTGTGGCCACTGAAGAAGTTAAGCTAATAACCAAAGAGGATAAACTCAATTCAGTTCTTGTCGAACTATTTCCTCATGCTTCATCCATTAACATTCATCACTTGAAGCCATTGTATGTCACGACACATATTGAAGGATACCTAGTGTCCAAAAATTTTGTCAACTATGGAGCAACAGTCAACATCATGCCTGTTTTTATCATGAAAATACTATGACGATCCAACAGCGAACTCATCCCATCAGAGGTAACCATGAACAACTTCGTCGGTGACAAATCGCAGACTAAGGGAATGCTTCCTTTGTAAATGACTATCGCAAGACAAAATCACATGACCATATTTTTATAGTCAATTGAAAGATCGAGTATAATGCATTGCTCGGTCGTGAGTGGATCCACCAAACTAGTTGTATCCCTTTGTCATTATATCAAGTCCTCATCTTCTAGGATGGCAAATCAATCGTCGTTCATCCGGCCGATAACCAGCCGTTCAAAGCTAATATGATCCAGGCTCGCTATTACGATAATCATGTCAGCTACATCACCCTACAGGGTTTTAATGAAGAAGGACGGCCGACTCGGATCTCAGATCAGAAAGATATCGGGGTTGGCGCTGATATTGTTCACCAGGATTCGGCAAGACTCGGGTTGGCTAACCTAATTGACAATCCTAATGTCAGATACTAAACAAGATAGACGTCGAGCTGCAGTTTCATCTATCATAGAACGCCTACTGGCCTATTGGTATACTATTTACAAGCAACCAAATTCTGACATGAACTTAGTTGAGTTCCTCGTCAAATAAGACAATGGTCCAATCCTGTCACTTGATAAAGTCCAACCTGCCCCGGTCGAGCTTGAAGACAACCGATCCTAAGTCTAAGATTCACTGGATGAAATAAATGTTAGAACGACCGATGACTCGGCCTTTGTTTATTAGTTCTTTGTTGCCCTAAACTATGAAAAATGAGCTTTGTAAATTACTCAAAGAATTTTAAGATTGTTTTGTTTAGAGTTACCATGAGATGCCTGGCCTAAACCCAACGTTCGTCGAGCACGAGTTATGCATCAAGGCTGGTTATAAACCTTTCTACCAACCCCCCTGTTGATTCTCGACCGAAGTTCAGCTCAGTATAAAAGACGAACTCGTTCGACTTTTCAAAGCTGGTTTTATTCGGACAGCTTGATACGTCGAATGGTTGGCAAGTATTGTCCCAGTTTTAAAGAAAAACGGTGTTTTACGTATTTGCACTGATTTCCGTAATTTGAACTTGGCAACTTTTAAAGACGAATATACAATGCCAATTTCAGACTTATTAATTGATGTTGTAGCAAACCACGAGATGTTATCTTTCATGGACGAACATGCTGGTTACAACCAGATTTTCATTGCTGAAACCGATGTCCACAAAACCGTTTTTCATTGCCCTAGGGCACTCGGGACTTACGAATGAGTCGTCATGCCTTTCAGACTTAAGAAAATCGGTGACATATATCAATGTGCTATGAATACTTATTTTCATGACCTGATTGGTACAGTCGTTGAAGTACATATCGATGATGTTGTGGTCAAATCGAAGCTCCACCGAACACATTTAAATGATCTTCAGAAAACTTTCCTTCGAATGCACCAACATAACCTTAAAATGAACCCTGCCAAATGCGCCTTTGGCGTATTGACATGCAACTTCTTGGGTTTTCTTGTAAATCATCGTGGCATACCCTACCAAATGCGCCTTTGGCGTATTGACATGCAACTTCTTGGATTTTCTTGTACATCATTATGGCATCAAGGTAGATGAGAATAAAGCTCAAGCGATCATTGATGCTTCACTCCCGACAACTAAGAAGTAATTACAATCTTTACTCGGCAAAATCAATTTCCTCCGCCGTTTTATTTCTAACTCGGCAAGAAAACTGAAGGCATTCTCCACGTTTTTGAAACTTAAGGATTCTGACAAATTCGAATGGCATAAAGAGCATCAGGATGCTTTCACGCAAATCAAGGTCTCCCTCACAACCCCACATGTCCTTATGCCACCTCGGCGCAGTAAACCTCTTAAGTTGTATATCTCAGCGACCGAGGAATCTATTAGTTGTCTTCTTGCACAAGACAATGACATCGGGCGTGAGCAAGCCATTTTTTATCTTAGCCAGAATTTTAACTCAGCTGAGATAAATTATTCAGCCGCCGAGAAACTCTGCTTGGCTTTGTTCTTCACTACATCTAAACTCAGGCATTACATGCTCCCTTCTGTTAATCAGGTCATCACCCAAATAGATGTTATTCGCTATATGCTTACTTGGCCGATAGTAAAAGGCTGAATTTGGAAATGGACAATGGCGCTGTCCGAATTTAGTTTTTAATACGTGCTCTAAAAAGCTATCAAATGACAGGTGTTGGCCGATTTCTTTGCTGAACACTCCTCCCCATAAGGTTTTTGGGGCAACAACGTCGAAATTGGGATGGTGGAAACATGTGATAATTATTGGACAATGTATTTTGACGACTCTAGTACCTCGACCTCGACCGACGTTGGAATCGTCATCTAGTCTCCTGATCACTACTGATGGTATTTCTATCTCAAATTGGATTTCGACTGTACAAATAATCAGGCCGAATATGAAGCCCTTATCATTGGCCTTAATGTCCTTCACGACTTAAAGGCAACCCGCGTACTTGTCCTTGGCGATTCGGAACTTGTGATTAACCAACTCAATAGGACTTTTTGTTGCATGAATTGTACTCTAGCGCCCTATAATATGGTTGTCAACTATTTAGCCGAATCGTTTGCTGGCATTACGTTCAAGCACATCTCATGAGTTCGAAATACAGACGCAGACGAGTTGGCTCAAATAGCCTCAGAGCACAACTTCTGGGGGCGAACTAAGCCAGGTCATACCAGTAGTGCGATGCCCACACCTAGCCTTGGTTAATCAGCATGTTCTCCAAAACGACCATGTGATCAGTACACGAGTTATGTCCTTACCTTCGTTGTTGGAATAAGATGATCCTATAGATATTTGTATGGTCGAGACTTTACTAGACGATTAGAGAAAGTCAATTATCCAGTATCTTGATAATCCTACTAGCAACCACGACTGCAAGACAAGGGTACATGCCACAAATTATGTAATGTACCAGAATAAGTTATATCGACAAAGTGAAGACGATCTGTTGTTATTGTGCCTCGGCCCAAAAGAGGCCGCCTAAGCTATTATAGAGGTACACGAAGGGATATACGGGGCTCAACAATCTGGATGTAAAACATGGTGGTTGCTCCGCCGACACGGCTATTTCTGACCGAGTATATTGAAAGATTACATTGAATACGTGTAAGGTTGTGTATAATGTCAAATCCATTAGCCCATACAGAGAGTCCCAACCGAACTACTTCACTTGGTCACCAAACCATGGCCATTTAGAGGATGGGCCATGGATATAATTGGTAAAATTACACTGTCTTCCGGATCAGCAAAGCATGCATGGATACTTGTTGCAACAGACTACTTCACCAAGTGGGTTGAAGCAAAGTCATACATTGAGTTAACTTCTAAGAATGTCTGTAATTTTGTAGAAGAAAACATCATGACAAGATTCAGCATACTGGAAAAAATTATAACGAACAACGGCACAATTTTTACAACTAAAAGGTTTAAAGAATACGCGATGAGTTTGAAAATTCGGCTCGATCAATCCACGCTATATTACCCACAAGCAAATGGACAAGCTGGAGCAAGTAATAAAGTTTTAATCGGTATCCTTGAGAAAAAGATAAAAGAAAAGTCTGGTATGTGGCATTTGAAGTTAAACGAGGCATTATGAACATACTGAACTTCACTCTAATCAACAACAGGGACGACCCTATATGCATTGACTTATGCACACGACGCGATGCTACCAGTCAAGCTAAGCATAAACTCATTACGAGTTATCGAACAAATCAGTTTGTTTAGTGCCGAGTATAGTCAGGCCATGAGGCAAAAGTTGGAGAACTTGGAGGAAGCTCGGCTCGATGCTTATTACTTACTGGTGGCGCAGAAAAAGATTGCCCAAAGAACTTATAATTGACGAGTTAGGCAAAAGAGATTCGGCGAAGGTGAATTAAAATGGCAAACCGTGTTACCAGTGGGGTTTAAAGACCCTAGATTTGGGAAATGGTCACCGAATTAGGAAGGACCATTCGTCATCCACAAAGTTCGCGACAATGGGCATACACCTCAAGGATCGAATTGGTTTAATTCATAAATTACCAATCAATGGGAAATTCTTAAAGAAATATTATCCAATCACTTGGGAAATGCAAGAATAAATATTTTATTTCATTGATTTGAAGGGGGCGTATAAGTGAAGTTACAAATAGTCAACCGGCCTACAACTAAAGACAAAATCCTAAGGAGTCGAAGGAAGAAAAGCTTCAAAAGTGACTTTCAATTCTAGCCACCTTACTTCGCCCATCATAACTTTAGTTTGTCTTGTTTTTTTTTTTTGTTGAGTTGTAGTTGTTGTATACGCTTCACGCCCGTTACGTACTTTACTAGTCAAGGTTTATTAGACTCAAAATCCTTTTTAAGCTCAGAAGCAACAGCCGACCTTTGACATTGAAGTTCAGCATTTGACGATCAAGATCGACTAGTCGCTCTTTCCTTGCCATTATGGCCTCGAGCTCTGGTCGGATAGCTTCATGAGCGACCATTACAGCTTTGAGGTCATCCTCTACATGAAGAACCCTCTCGAAGATAGTGAAATATTGCCGGGTTTGTTCTGGAACAGTAGACAAGTGAACGACACTCTCGTTACTCAGAAGGTCGTCAATTTCAAGGTTCAAACATTCTCCTATAGAATTGAGGCCTTTATGTTGGAGGATTTACGAGGCCGAAAGAGACAGAAGCTCTTATAGCTTGGCAAAGGCCTTGGACTCGGTCGCGATTGCAAAAGGGTTGGTCACTGTTGTTGAAGGCCTAGCCATCTTAGAAACACTAGAAAGGAATGCGTCAAGCTCGACCTCCCATGAAAGCTGCACATTAAAAGAGTTGTTAAAGAAGAGAAATTAAAAGGACGGCAGATAAGGAAGTTGTGTTAGACCTGCTGAGAAGAGACTTCGGCTATGTCTACTGGTTCGTTGCTTGAACCCAGGGAGCTTAATGGCTAAGCCTAATACTTAAGGTAGCCTTTTAATTCATGCGGCTGATGAAGGTTTTCTACATCTGATGGCCACTAGGGTGGCCAGGAAATATAAATAACGTCATTTGGCACATAGAATTTTCGGTGAAATGAACGATTAGGCACCTGGCATTTAATATTTTCTTGGTTTAGAATTCTAAGGTTGGAAATTAATAAAAGAAAATGATTGAGCCTTACAAAAGTCGAAGTGACCTTCTGAGGAGAAAATCTGAGGTTTTGGTCCTGGGGATGAACCAGTGTCTCTGTCTTCGCTTTTGGCTCGACTTGAGGCGGTGCTTTATGCTCCAAACCTACTTCGGCCGCATGAAGGTCGACCTGGCCAACCGCCTCGACCACTGGTTGGGGATTGGTAATTGGCAGTTCGGCCAATCGAGGGCATTTCACCAACGAAGGTACTTCACTTTCATTCTCCTGGTCATAAAAGATGATTTTCCGTTAGTTTGGAGATTTAGTTAAAATAAAAGGAGAACATTATTAAAAAAAAAAATGGTCGTACCTCTTCTTCTAGGACGATCACTAGAGTCTTCTTTAGATTTAGGGAAGGGTTTCTCTCGGCCGTGGTGGCCGCCTTCTCCAAAGCAGTAAATTCTAGGCTGACGTCATGAGCAAGGGCCAGCCCCGAAGTTGCAAAACCCTCGACTAATGGGGAACAACTGGTTCAACAACGGACTACGTGGTGGGTCGAATCTCAGTCGTCTGATCCATCAAGGGGTTTTCCGGTACTTCCGTCGAGGCCTAAACGACAAGAGAAAGGAAAGAAATACTAGGAATGGTTGCTCCTGTGGTTTGACTTGCATTGATATGAATTTCCCGCTCTCCCTTCCTTACCTTTTTCTTGATGCGTTTTTAAGGCCGAGTAATGTTGCCAGTCGTCTCGACCTCCGAGCAAAGCCGTTTACTCGGTGCAATCAGCGCAGTAACATCAGTTATTAGAGTTGGTTCAGCTGAGGGAAGTGTGATGGTCGCAGCCTTCTTTGGAGAATGAGCGAGTTTCTTTTTGGCGGCGACCATCGCAACCACATCAGCCCGTTTTATGGCACAACCACTTGGAAAACTGAGCTTAAGTTAGAACAGAGTTCAAATTGAATAGATAAACAAGAAAAGAAAAAGATGTATACCTCAATCGATGAGGTGCTGAGGTGCTTAAGAAACCCTTAACGTAGGCATCCTACTAGTCAACGAAAATGCTGATACAATCAGTTTCAGGGTATACGGCTGAAGGTAGAATTTAATACACCACTCTTGGAAGTCTCGCTCAGCCTCCTCGCATTCCCTCTTCGAGAAACTGGAAAGGCGTTCTCGGCTCAAGAGTGAGCGAGAAGTAAAGAACGGTAAAAGACAGCCCTGAGATAGGCTAGTTGACAAGCCACGAAGTAAAGATGGTAGACCTTCCAGCTAGCTCATCGAGCATCATAACCGAAGGGAGTCATGTGCGAGGACAAACGATCCCTAAGACTATTGTAAGTCAGCTTCATCTGCTTTTATCCACGCCGATGTAAGGAGCTTAATGGAAGACAGATATTTTTGGCAGCGGCAAACTAGAAACTCCTTGTCAGATAGAACTTCAAGGCCCAAGAAATATTTGACTATGTCTTTGGCCGAGTGAGCAGGAATGAGGTGCGAAGCCAGTTGAAGACCCATTACTTCAGAAGAGTTGAAGCTATGGATCTCCTACCTCAACGTGCAAAAGTAGATCTACAACCATAGTTTGAAGACCCAGAGCGGGCCGTTCTGGTGCGGATCGATCTTCCTAGCAGAGGCCTCGGCCAAGCACCGAGTAAGGTTGGTAAGGATGGCCGGGTTGAGGGCCAAGACATAACCACTGGCTAGTGCTTTGGCCACCGGCATGTTTTCGACCAAGCACTTGTTCGACTTGGTACAAAAGATAAATTTGTTGTACCAGTAGAACAAGAAGGCCTCGTGTTCCCCCTTCCTGAAAGTTTCCCCTTCCAAGCTAGCAAAGTGGGTGATCAGGGTGCTATAGTTGAATAAGTTTTTGTGCATCTTGTGCACATCTTCTTTCGACGGCTCCTGACCATCATTCATCAAAGCTTCGATGGCACGCTCGTCCAAGACCGCCTTCAGGTCCAAGTCGAATTGATACCGAAAAATAGCAATATCAACTGGAAAACCAAAAGAGGAAGTGCCAAGTATAGCTGTGACATCCAGCACAGTCGGGCTAATGGGGCTAAGAAGAAGGACCATAATGTTGGTGGCCGAACACCAGAAGCTTAGGGTCGCTATTAGGAGTTCTCGATCCATGTTGATCTCAATGGTCGAGAGCTTAATGACATCGAAGATGATGAGAATCTTCCATTCGCCCTCAAAGTGTGGCTCCATCCGGGTGACCCAAGCAGCCCAGATCACGGGGTTTGAGGGCCAAGCTTCTTAGGGTTTGGTCAATTCCCACTTCAACCATTCATATCCTTGAATTAGGGAACAAGGCAGTAAGCCTTCAACATGTTTGTGATTGACTCTGGGACGTCATCCTTGAAAAGCAGTCCCAAAGTTTGGTGGGAGACTCTCGAATCATCCTTGGATCAGAGGGTTTTGATGGCATTCCGATCAATAAAGTCTCAACACTTGTCGCATTCTTTGATGAGTTTGGTGATGAAGGTGTTGGTAGCTATTGATGAAGGTTGAAGGTTTTCTAGGTTTCAAAGTTTGGTTTCCTTTCTGGGCTCAGAGTAAATAGCAAGAAGTTCTGGAAATGGTAGGAAGTTCTGGAAATTTGAAAGCGTAAAAGATCATGTGAAGTTGGGCTAAGTATTTAGAAGATCAACAGTTTAATTTTAAAAGGATGAAGGGTAAATTCGACTAAAATGTTGCACAATCATAAAAGGATCTTTAAAAATCCAAGTAAAGAGGTTGAAAAGCATGAGAATTTAGGTTGCACGATTGTATGTGATGGCGAAATTTATGACGAAGAGATGGTTCAACGTCTACACGCCTCGAACATGGGGGCACGCATGATTGAAGATGGACAATCGCAATGAGGAGCTGCCATGTGTCAAGTAGGGCAGTGTCGTCAGAAAAATTGATAGGTGAAAGACCATGCTTAATAAATACGTCTGGACGTTTGGAGCGTTCAAGGCTTGCAATGTTCTTTGGATCTTTAGAAGGAATATGTTAAAGGTTTATTCTTCGCCAGAAAATCACTTCTTCAAGGTCAAGGCTCGGCCAGAGATTGTAGGCCGAAGACCTTAGAAGCGAAGGGACAATGTTAGGGCCCAAAATATTGTTTTGGGTCCAGCTTAGAGTTATTCTTGGCCCAATAGCATTCATCTAAAATCTTGTTATGGGCCGTCCAGTCAAGGTCAGCCAAATCTTATTGCAAGAAGGATTGGTTTAGATAAAGATAAGAAAGTCGAACCTTAGTGCAACAAGGAGTCTTAAAGCTGAAGATGCTTAGAATTAGGGGATGAATCTGGTTCGTTATGGAGCTTGGTTTAAAGTCCTATTAGAGCTAGGATTGGTCAAAACCTAATCAAATTAGGTTGAGGAATTCTAATCCGAGTATAATTCTAGTTCGACCATGATGGGGGTTCACTGCTATAAATAGAGAAGGGAGTGCATTGTTCAAACCCCTCCAAATCAACATACAAATTGCCCTACACAAAGTTTCTTAACAACCTTTGAGATTTTATCATCTTCCCCTTTTTTCTTGCCAACAAATCTTCAGTTTGGATAAACAGTACTGTGAAAGCAACCGACGACAGTTTTAGTTTGGATAAACAGCACTGCTTCGAGGCTGACTGGTTATTTATCCAAGTCTTGGTTGAGAAGGATTTTAGAATCTTTGTTGGCAGAGGTCATCTCATCAGCCTTCTCAACCAAGTGAGGTGTTACCAGGTTATTAAGCTCGGCACATAGAAAGCCGAGTTTTG